AGGTCGAGGTCGGGGCCGATACGAGGGCCTTCCGGAGGTTCCGGGCGACTCGAGATGGAACGATTCATGAGGATCGTTACACCACGCGTTCGAGTACTGGTGCTACCTGTCAACTGTTAGCTAGAGCCCTCGCTGCAGCAGCCTCTAAAGCACCTTCTAGAGGTTAAAAAGCTAGTAGATTAAATAAGCAGACAAGGAGAAAGGTTACCTTTATAGATAAGCAGCGCGCTGCTGCTTTAACAGCTGCTATTAAGATACTATTGTTACTACTATTAGTAGTAGAGCTAGAGTGTTAACTATTGCCTTAGCAGCAATTGTCCCCACCTTCTAAAGAGCCTAACTATAAGATAGATATAAAGTATATTCTACGCGTAAATAGGAACTAGGTAGTTAATAACAGTAATAACTGCTAGTAGCTAGTCTTCTCTATGTTATTTATAAAGAATAAAGTAGACTTAGTGCTTACTAATGCAGCTTTTATAATTAACAGGTAGAAGGTTACCTAGCTTAGTTACTTAGTAAGCTATTAAGCTAAGCACTCTAAATCTACCTAGCAGCACATTACTTTAGCTAACTTTAGTTTTATAGAGGGCGCTTACTTACTTAAAGTAGTTAATTACTATGTTAAGCACTTTACTAAGAGGATTAATAGAGTAGATTTTAAAGTAAAGCTCTGTGTTAAAGTTAAGGCTTTATAAAGGGCATTTCTGCGCAGGTAATTAGCTAATAAGCTATTATTAAATCTAGATACTACACTAATAATACTAAGTAGCTATTATACCTAGCAGCTGCTGCGTGAAGCTAGGGCAGCAGAGTAAGTAGAGAAGATATTTAAGGCAATAGACCACTACTTAGCAATTGCGCGTACGTAGGAGTGCTAGACAGAGCTTTGTAATAACTATAAGGAGTAGTGCTATATCTACCTAGACTAATCTTACTATGCTATTAAACTAGTTAACTTTAAGGCGTAGAGAAGGTCTATAGTTATAGGAGAGTCTTTTGTTATAGTACTTAGTTATAAGATTGTTAGAGTGCTGCAGTAAAAAAGTTACAAGCTCTAGGTAAACCCTTACACATAGAAAAATAAGAAAAAAAGGCTAAGCTTATTATTATTAAATAAGCTATTATTTAAGAAGCTAGTAAAGTAGATAAGCTAGCAGCAGTTACTTAACTAAATAGTAAAGATAGGTAATAAAAAAGCTACTTAAGTAAAGTAATAAGAGTTTTAATAGCTCTATCTCTAATAGCTTTAAGCGTAGGCTAGTATCCCTTTTATAGGAGCTGCTCTACTCCCTTACTACTAGCAGCTACATGCCCTACTAGTTATTACCTTAACAGCGCCTTAATTTTTAGGTTATTCTTTAAGTCTTATAATAAAAGGTAGTAAACAGAATACTTAAAAAATAGTAAAAAACTTTTTTAAGTAGTTAGTTAAGTAATAGCTAAAGAATAAAAAAGATCTTTACTTTTACACATAAAAAGTAGTAACTAAGAAGCTATAGACTATAAAGGATCTCTGTAAGATAAGCAGAGTTAAAGGTGACCTGTATAATATTGCTATTACCTAGTTTAGGCTTAAAGATAGGCTTGTTTACTATCTTTATAAAAATCTTTATTAGTTTAAGCTAATATATTATATAGCTAGCAGCCTACTTAAAATAAGTAGTAGTAAGTAAGGCAGAACTAGTAGTAAAAATAATATAGCTAAATAATTTATTTAAATTTAAACTCTTTTACTTTTTTAAGCTTTCTTAGCTTTCTTCTTACACACTCTAGCTTCTCCTGCTTAATATATAGCCCTCTTACTATATACTTAAAGTGCTTTTAAGTAAAATAGTTACATTTGCTTTTTTAAATAGCTACTTTTAAAAAGGCACTAAAGTTACTACTAAAACGCTTTTAAATGTATAGATAGTTTTTTTTAATCTATACTTTAAGCACTATAAAGGTAAGCTTTATTAAATTATAGTTAAGTAAGTATAGAAGTAAATACCTTACTAAATACTTACTAGCCTTAATAATCTATGTTACTTTGTTATTTATATAAATTAAGACATTATCTAGGACAATTACTAAGTGCTTTTTACTGTACATAACCTAAAGCATAGAGATTAGACTTTTTTTAATTTACTTAAAAAACTGCTTTTAATTAAAGTAGCCTTTTTTTATAGCTATATAAGAGAGATAGCTATTAATTATATACATAAAAAAAATTAACTAAGTACTACCTTAAGCAATATTCTAGGTATACTAAAAAACATAGCTAACTAAGCTATACATGTAGTGCTGCTAGCTAGTCTTCTTATTAAAAATTAACTTATTAAAAAATACTAAATCCTTTACTATAAAGCGTTTTATTAAGTTATAATATAAGTTATAAAGTTTTTTATTTTAATTAATAGAGAACACTTAAAGTGTTTAGTAACTTTATTTATGTTAAAAAAGAAACTAGGATATGTTTATATAATTAATTTAAATGCCTTTTTTTACTTATAACTAAAGTGTAATCTTGTCCTAGTACATCTACCTAGAGTAGATAAGCTTACTAAAAAGAGCATCTACGTCTTTCTTACTAATTGCTAGTAAATAACTAAGCCTGCCTTAGATAAGTGCTCTTACGCTGCTATGCATCTTTAGATTATCTATTACATTATATACTGCGCAGTTGCTGCACCCCTCTTAATTAGCAATTACCTACAGCCTTTATCTAAGCAGTAAAAAACAACATATATTAATACGCGTACAATTAGATAGGCCACAGGCGCTTATAGTAAGCGCTAGGGGTTGCTGAGTAGGTGGTGGGCGACAAGAGACTCTGTGAGCTTAAAACATGGCTAGAAAGCTATTTTAAACATTAAAACCTAGCCTTATTATTTCCTAAATAGGAAGTACGTACAGCGCCTAAATGTTCACTAAAATTAAGAGATGTTAGGTAGTTGTAGGGTTTTATAGGCAAAATTTCAAGTTCTCATACAAATTTGGTGGCGGAAAGCAAAGTTCGAGGTGTTGCCAAGACATTGCACGGATTAACGCACACAATAGATCCGAGTCCCTCGCGCACTTGCCCTATGCGCGACCAGCTTGCAACATGCTGCAACATGCTGCAAAATGCTGTAAAATGCTGCAACATGCTGCAATTTGCTGCAACATGCAGCAATTTGCAGCAACATACTGTTCGAGCTTATTGCTCGTACTATGTAGCAGCTTTCGTCAAGCGTTCCTCCTGTCTTGACAGTAGGTGCGCATATCTGACAATAGGAGTGCGTGGGGACTCTAAACCTAGGAATGCTATTAACACCTATAGGCCTTGTACAAAAGGATATTAGAAAACTACTAAGCTAGCTACAGGGGCGAGGTGCGACTAAATACATAAGGGAATAGGGGTAACTGCGGGGGACTGGGTTGAGTTATGGTCGGGGCCGATACAGGGACCCTTCGGATAGGATCCGAGCGACCCGAGATGGAACGATTCGTAGAATCGTTACACTAGGAAATATCTAAACGTGTTACTTAAAGAGTACGTTAACCTACTACTATAAAAAAGTAAATGTAAATCTTATATATAAGAAACTATTTATCTAGAATATATTATATTTAAAAGGGCATCGGCGAGCTAGCTCCTTCTAGACGACACGTTCTGCCCTTCGTAGTGACAACGTGGATGATCGGCTTCCGGCACGCTGCGAAGTTTTTACCCCGCACACCCCCTGCTATGCTTGGCATGAGCTTTGTCAATCTGATTAGATCTTAGCGGCTGATCACGTGATAGCAGAAGCTACATGCACTTAATAATCATCCAGCCTCGAGCACCATGGAACCTGCTTACCAGCTTGTGGCAAAGCCGTTTAGTCCTTCTTTGTGGGTTAGGGCCTTGTCTTGGTGGCTTGCGATGCGTCGTCGGACGCGCCGCGCGCTTAGTAGGAGATTTGTAAGATGTGCTCGCGAATTTTGGGTGACATTTGTTTTTCGGTGGCTTAAAGCTGGGGTTTGTCAGCTCTTGGCTTTTTATTAAACTGAACTTGAGCTTGCTAATGATTTGTACGAGCTGAGTGCAGGCAAAATCAAATCCTCTCTTGCTTGTACGGGGCTTGGTTATTGCCTGACCATTATCTATAAAAGTCACCACATTCTCTAATATTTCGACTAATTAAATATCGAAGTACCTTGCCTCACATACATTTCAAGACAAAATACGCACCCAATTGACGACTATGGACGTGGATACGGAAGCTCTCATGGCGGGCATCCAAGCTCTCATTTATGGCGTAGTTGCCGCCATTAAAACAGCTTTCGATGCCCAAGATATGCACGATCATCAGAGAGATTTCACCACAAACTTTGTGGAAGTTGCTCGACGACAGTATCCCGAATGGAACGTCGTAATCACTTGCCAGAATACGGACCGCCACTTTGTCAACGAGATTCATCAAAATACCGAAGTGGATTTGGGTGTCTTTGGTAAACGCCACTACGACGTTTACTTTTGCACTTCGGGCGACTTTACAAGATATGGCGACGGCGGGTTCGAGAACTGGTGCTTCAATGGCAATTATGTTCGAGACGGAGACCATGTCACCTTTTATCCGATTGAATGTATGTGAACCCCAGACAGAACTCCTTCCTTCCTGTCTGTAGTTTAAATGGCTTACAAGACTTTGATAGTGCACGAGCCACAGCCACCAATCCAAGATCGGCCAACTCCACCAATCCACGTCCAGAAGAAGGACGGCGTCTACCTTGTCAACTCCATCCGCGGCAGCGAACGGTCTAGCGGCCTTGCGTACTACAAGAACATGACATTTGGCGGAAATGACGGCCAGCAGCCTGACGACTATGTCGACATTGTACACGGTGAGCTGCTAAATTGGGAGGGACAGCACAGTGGCACGTTTGGCAACCAAACAAAATTTACAACATGGATCAATGCCGGTGCAGCAGGGCTAGAGAGCGGCACAATGTGTGGAGGCGCGTCAAATGAGTTTCGCACTATGGAGATTTTCCGGGACAAGTCCCGTGTGCTCTATGAGATTGATGGATGGAAAGTTTTCACCGAGTTCTGGTGCAATTGAAGACACCTAAGGCTTTCTATGTCGGACCGCTAGATGTATGCTACGAGGATTGTGGGTGTGGGCTAAATTTATTGAAATCAAAATTGTCAGACGCTAAATGCAATGGATCTCTGGTGCAAGTGCGGATAGAAAAGGCGGTAAAACCCCTTCAAAAACGGCGGTAAAGGAACCAAGAAGTAGATTTAATGCGGACAACTTATCAACTAAGGTAATTTACAGTACAATATCTTGTGATAGCCATATGATATGCTTCGTTTTCTCTAATCTGTTCGAGACTGTGCTCAGTGGTACGGTCCCGTGTATAAGAGTGCACGCAACCCAGTGAGTAGAGGGAACCTGTGGATTTTTCGAGCGAACTAACCTAACGTCTGTCCCTGGGTCGAGAGACGCACCCTCTCGCGAGGACAAATCTAGGGCTGGACCTCCGGAGTCTCTCCTTTACAAGCTTACGAAGCCATAGCTGATGTATTACCATTCTACATCCATTTCTCCCCTAGAAAGCCAGTCTTTAACGAAAATTTCTGCGATGTTAGTTTTGTTGTCAAATTGTTTTAAAGCTGTTAATCGCTCCACAGCTAAAACCCCTGTCTGTTCGCGACTTTAACGGTCTTACTAAATTTCAGAGGACTTAAGGGAAAGCTGTACTAAGATAATGTCTCCAGACTTTGAAGGCACGCTGGCCCTAAGGGTGTGCATGCTGGGAGTTGCGCCGGGTGGGACGACAAGACCCTTGAAAGCCTCCCAGCGCGGCGGGACGCTCTAGCGTACCTTGGTATGCACTAGCTTTCATTAGCGTACTTATGATGATCATAAATCTTATCGTGCTGAAATTCACGCTATCCCTACCTCAGACCGGCTTCCAAAAATATCTGTGGCGCATGGCCATGGACTTCTTGAAGCGTCGGCGACCACGTGCTCGGCTTCATTACCTTGCACCACACCGCGCTCCCCGGAGTTGCTTCATGATTGCCCTCTCCGTCGTCATCGTCCTCTCATCCTCTCCTCGCCCTCAGGAGAAATGGACGAAGTTAGTCCGGTATTGGCACGGCGTTCCTCATAGCGTGTGCGGGCTTCCTTGTTGAGCGGCGTCTTCACAGTCGCCTCGTGGCCTCCAGATGAAGCCGCGTGGAGTGCGTTGCTGTACTGTCCACCCTGTGCGCCCATCTCAGCGCCCTTGTCGACCAGCATCCGACCACGGTTTCCCTTGTCTGTAATCTCAAAAGCAGCCTCTTCCTCATTACGCTTCGCTCGTGCTTCCTTGAGGTTCTCGTATCTCATGACCCTAGCCATCCCTTGTGCTAGTAGTTTAGTTAATCGCTAAACTTTAGCTTTGTTGTCAATTGTCATCGGATATTAAATTTAGTTCTACAAGAAGTCACCCTCGGCAAAAAATAGTTGAGCAGCTTTAGGAAATATGTGTACGTGTCTTTGTAGGCTCTGTTTGCTTGTCTCTCAACAGCATAAGCATTCCGTCTGACAATTAGATCCTGTAGCGACATAAGACCCTCTACTATTACCAGTGGAACAGGCGTTTGCAGTATTCTGTCTTAAGGATAAGGCACCACCTTCACCTCATTAGCAATTTAAATAGTTAGTTTAGTAAGAAGCTTAGTTACGTCTCTAAGTACTCTATGTAAATTAAACAGGAACAAACTACTTGCAATAAAATCAGCCTCAATATTCTTAGGCGTGAAAGCTCTTCTCCTTGCAGGGCTAAACAGAGGAGGAAAATGCTCCGTACTAATTGTGTTTACACTGCTTTTCTCTAGTCGTTTAACCTGCTCGCAATAGGCTCCTTAGTAGAGCAAACACAGCTACGTTGCAGGGTTAAAGCTTGTGAGAAGCGTGACAGGGAAGAGGGCATAAAATTATGTTGTTTGCAAAACAAACTCTAAGATCTTAAGAGTCTTGTGCGTTCTAAAGTTGTTGCAAATTGGCACTTAGGGTTTCTGGTTATCTTACTCCTTAGTTTTAAGGTTAGATATATGCGTAAGCCATTGCCAGCTAATATAGGAGTCAGTATATATAGATTCAGAGCTCGCACACTGCTATCTAGGGGTAAGAAACATGGTCCAGTTACTTTAGTAAGTGCCAGCTAGCTAATTGATCATGGGGTTTAAATACCTAAGGTTGGCGCTGATACAAGTAATCGCAGTTACTAATGTGCGTTGAACACCCCCGCCCCTGTAGACTCGCATGTTATTCTTGCCTACAAGGATTCATACAGAGACCTAAGCTGGATTAGATCTTCCTATGGGTTCCTTTGAACCATTTGCACTGCTTTCAAGCGATGAACCTCGATTGAAAATTGTCGAGGAGGCTGAAGTTCTCGCCTTCTCAGGTCAGAGCCACATATCCATGCACTCCGCTTCAAGCTGGATTGATGGCACTTTCCGGTCAGGACTTACGGTACGTGTCGCAGAGAATCTTCGCACCACCACCGACGATTAACCGTGGCTTCGAAAGGTATGAAAGACCCGACTCAGGCTCGGCGCTAACAAAGCCACGACCCATGTTGCTTCTCTCCCGACAACATTTTGTCAATCAATCAGGACATAACAATATCATTTCATATCTTTTGCTCTGAACCCGAGAACCCCAGCCGGTCCGCCTACGGGTTTTCTATGCTATGTTCAAGTTTCCGGTCCTTGCTCCCAGCCGCCGTGGGAGTACGTCCAGGAGACAGCGCCACTCTCGCGAAGCATCCCTTTGATTTCAGTCGAATTACTGTATCCGAGAGGGGTGCGAAGTTTGGAACCATTCGTGCCATTCGGATTGGCACCAGCGTTCAGAAGAACTCGAACAACTTCGCTCTTGTTGTGCTCACAGGCTCGATGTAGCGGGTTTTCTCGATAATTGCCCTCGACGTTAGGATCGAAGCCTTTGTCCAGGAGAAGTTGCACAATTTCGTGATGCCCCCGAGTCGCAGCCCTATGCAGTTCGGTATCGCTTCCGGACCAAGCTCCGCGCGAATTGCAATTGTCCCGTTGAACTTGGCGATTCTGAAGCCGAGCCTCGCGCAGATCGCAAGCAACGTCCTGAGGTAGCGGAACTCCTAACCCCATCAACCGAATGACAATAGCACTGTACCCACTGTTGTACGCCATTTCCATGGCATCCATACCGCCCTTGCCCTGTAGGAGATGCGGGTAATTAGAATGGAGAAAATCAAAGTTGCTCCCATGTCCACCCCTAATAGTGCCTAGCAACGCTTCGGGGGTTGGTTTGGCATCGAAGTCGACGAGATGTTTCACTATTGGAGTGAACCCACCCATAGATGCTGTCGTGATATGTGCCGAGTTGGGTTTCGCACCCATTTTGAGTAAGAAGAGAGTAGCCTCTGTTTGCCCAGATCGACAAGCGCAATCAATCGCTTCATCTTGGATCTCGGCACCATTATCAAGAAGTATTTTGATAACATCGAGGTCCCCTTTGGATGCAGCCCCAGTAAGACAGTGATTCAGTGCCGCAGTTACGCAAATATGACTATTCATCCTTGGTAGAAAATTTTCCCTCTTAAGAAATGTGACGATAATATCTCGGTCTCCGATACTTCCAGCCATACGCCAGCATTCTTCAGGGATATACGAGTAGAAATCGAGAAGAGCTAATATCATATTAATATCTCTTCTCTGGTGTGAAAGTGCTGTCAGTAATGCAACATTGTGGTCCTTGCCAGAGTCAAGTTTTATTCCTCTGACGAAAAGACTCTGAACAATCTGCACTTGCCCAGCTTCCACAGCTTGAAGAAGGATTGAAGACGTTTCGAGTGATCCTAATCTCTGATACGCAGAGAAGAGTTCTTCAAATGCAACAATGTTGCCTTTCTTAATGAGTATGGTCAACGCTCCTTTGATAGCTGTCGGATTTTTGATCACTCTGGAGAGCAGCGACACAATCCCATTGTGTCCCTTGGAGCATGCTTCATCCAATGCTGTTGGAAGACATGCGTTCAGCTCTCCATCTGCAATCAACTCGGGATCAGCGCCTTTGTGGAGCAGAAGCCATGCGATTGCATAATGGCCCTCAGAACAGGCAGTATACAAGGCCGACTTTCCAGATTCTATTGCATTGACATTCGCCCCTGCCAATAATAAATCCTCACAGCGTCGAAAATCTCCAGCAGCAACGGCCCTACATATGTTCTGATTGAGGACCATTGATGGGGCGGAAGATTTTGCAGAAACGCTGTCTTCATAGAACTGCCATTCTTCATAAGGCTTGGACACGACAGCGAAAGAGATCACTTCCATATGTCTGCCAAGATGTTGCATGAGAGCGTTTCTGCTCCCCGCGATATTTTGGCCACAGAATGGACAACTCGACTCTTCAACCGACTCATGCTTAACCGAGATTCCTTTGCTCCGAGACGGGGGATGGTGCTGGTCGGAACTCTTACGAAATAATGTTGGAATCCAACTTCGGTGAACCTCGCATTCATCAAAGTGGATATGTTTTCTACCGTCTCGTTTTCTAGAGAAAGTCCGTGGGCAAGTTGTACAAGCGTATGTTCGGGACACCTTACGGTGACGCTTCATTTCGTGAGAAACTAGCACACGTCGGGTTGTGTAGGTCTTATTCGGAGTTGGGCAATCTTCAAAGGTACACAGATATGGCTCTAAATCCTGAAATACGTGTTTCCTGCTAAATCAGTATATTCCACGAAGGGCTGTGTGAGTTACCTACTTCCAATCTCTTCGGCGTAGCACCTCTACTTGACGGCCGCAAATGTCACACGTGAAGGATTTCTGGGTACCTAATTCTACAGGAGGAGGGGGTAGAGAAAGCAGTGGCTCACGGATATCGTATGTATTGTTCGAGCCTGGAGATTTACCGGTGGAGAAGGTCCGTACAGACTTGTGCGATGCGTCATATCCTGGAAGGCTATCCGATCCATGAAGAGAACTATGGCGAGTTGATGACCCTGACGCTGATGAATGTGGACCAGGGAAACGGTACGTCTGCGACCAATAAGACTTCTCCTTTGAGCCGGGCTGAATGATGCCTATCGCACTCGATCCAACTCCGGGTAATAGCCCGGACTCTCTCTGGGGTCTTCGTATCTCCGGCATTAGAGGCTTTGTACCACCACCGGTTCTGCTCAATAACCTAAGTAAAGGACTGGCTTGCGTGTCTTGGGGCTCGGCTCGAATAGCAGGAGCGAGTTGGCCAATGGAGTCTTCGGAGCTTTCAGAAGAACTATCAGAAAGACTCACAGGGCCTGTTCTGGATGAACCTAGTCTTTCAGCTCGCCTCTCATTGGCTTTTGCTAACCTTTTTACTAAATACTCTGGCATCTGCGGGTACTTGTCTCGAATGTTGCGGTAAAATATGCGGGCATTAAAGGAAACTTCGCGTAAGTTACGCGCATTTTGGGGTTCATCAGAAGCAACTGAGCATTTATCATAAGCTCGGTCAATGTGAATGTGCCGAAAACATTCGAGAGCATTGGTTTCGCTATCTCCGTTGTGGATGGTACCATGTCCAGCGGTGGGGGTCCCCATCTCCGACGCTGAAAGGACTGATACTTGGTCGAGCCAGGCATCTAATGGAGTGGGGTTGACTCTCTCATCTTCGGTGTTTTGCGGCTCTATTTTAGTAATATTGCGTCCAGATAGAAGGGCGTCCAGCTCAACTTGTCCCCACGCACTAAGAGTCGGTAGCATGGACTCAGCTAAAGGCTCTTCGGTTTTAATTGACTCTCGCGGGGCCATACTCTGTATATCGAAAATATCTTCATCAATTTTCATAGTATCCGAAGGTATAGGTCGCTCGCCGAATATCTGGTAGTCCTCATCGATTTGTTGTTGCTCGACTCGGACCTCTTCACTTTCTAGAACAGTTACATCATCCGCTGTTTCTGGCATTTTGCGTAGATAGCAAGTTAGACCGCATCCGGAGCTTTAAAATGTTAACATCGTCCTTTTCAGGAAAGAAAAAAGCAATATATTAACGTACCACACAATTGCCGATCCATTCGTCGTCGAACTGAAAGCAAGCTTCCTGCGACAGCTCGGTCGTGGACAGAGATGGTGTTGCATGAGGACATTTTGGATAATCATGGACATTACGAGTGACGATCCCGGGAAAACAATTTCTTTCCAGTTATCTTTTGTAATGAGCTGAGTCTGATTGGTCCTGTTGATAAGATGATATTCGCCCGAGGTTACTTTATATTCTCCGGGTAACCCATGAAATTCCGCGCGAAGTAGTCCCTCGAATGTCTAGTAGAAGTTGTCAACAGGTTTATAGATGTAGAGAGAAATGAAACTATACCTCCCAGTGCTGAAACCACTCAAATGGTAATCTTCGATTGCGGCCAAGCGCATCTTCAAAAAAAATATTCGAATCAGACAGTATTGAAGGGTTCGGGTTCAAGTTATTTTGGAAATGAAGGAGCAAATGGTATATCTGGAAGTTCGTTCGCAGGATTCTCTGAAGGAGATGTCGAATCTCTCGAGGGAAGGAGTTCACAAAGTCGACGATCTGCTCACCGACACTTCTAAGGGTACTGATAGAGGTTTCAACAGACGCCTGGGAAGCCATTATACTGTCGCTGAAACTTTGGATCTGGTCCGAAACGTTCTCGACCTTAGTTCGCAAGACATCCATGGTCTGGGCTTGTTCTTTCACGCTCCTTTGAGTACTGTTCCCCACACGAGCCAGTTCTTCTCGTATCTTAAGAACTTCGGACAATACATTGTTTTGTTCATTTCGCACCTGGGGCTCAATCCTAGAAATAGACTCCCTAGCCTTAGGTTAGCTGAAATGCGAGCAATTCCATATGCTCCACTATCTTACGAGATTTGTAAATTCAAGAGCAAGTTAATGCTTGTGACTTTAGCAGCAATTACAGCTCTAAGAGCCTGAATATTTTCTTCTTGGAATGCTGCCCATTTCGCTTTCCTAAAGGCACCAGATGCTGAATTTCTAGGGGCAAAAGGCCCTAAAGATCGTTCATAGCTCTGCAGCCTTTTAAGGAATTGATGGAGTGGCAGTTGGCAAGACAGCGCCATTCCTCGAATTGCATTGACATGAAGAGCGTTACTCTCATTTGGGTTGAGAGCGGCGACAGCTTTCAGCGCCCGATCAAGGCCTTCCAGCTCAATGACAGCATGCTGGTAATCCTCCGCTGCCCCACCAGCCGTTTTAAGAGCGTCGGAAACTTTTTTTATTAATACTGGAGATGGTAATAATAGTTAGTTCCTTGCTATAATAATGTTTCCACAGAGACACTCACCAGCGGCACTAATGAAGTCACCGACAGAAAAACCAAAGGCCGATGCCATTTCACAAGTTTGAATATGTCAGTTCACATTCAGTGAGGGCGATCGCGATTTATCGCTGCTTTTACCGCACCGTAGAATTCAAAGAGAGGAGCCTTGATGCTCAAGGAGCAAGATATGGGAGTCAAAGCAAAAACACGTGGAAGCTGTAGATCTATAAGTTCAGCGCGCAGCCTTTGAAAAGGGGGCTGTGTAAGCCGCAATTGCGGTCATTCTGGCATATTGACTGCGCCACCATCCGATCGAACCAGTTGAAATGGCCCAAATCTCTAAGCCCCTTTGCAGCCCAAATCAGTCGGGCGCAGAGGCACGCAGAACAGACGGAAAACCGAGAATGAATTTGCACCAGGTTCTCCTGGAGAATACTGATTTAGCCTAAAATGAACTGGCCGACAGGATGAACAGTCCTATGAAATAGCACACTGAAGTACTCGGTGAACCAAATGTTGACGAAAAATCAAGCCTTCCGAGTGGGGTGAGATGCTCAAAACTCGGCTATTTCGGTCTGGTTGGGGGCGGAAAATCCGGGCTCGAACAAGCAGAGCTCAGGAACAGGTTGCGAAGAGCTGCAAGCCTTCGCGTGGGCTTTTACTGCCCTCAGTCTGATTGGCTTTGAAATGGCCAGCAATCAGGTCCGGAAGCTGAAGTGGTTTGAGGTGGGTCATTCGTGGGGACAGCCAGCCTTTCGCGTGTTCCCTTCCCCCAAACTGATCTCCACCGACTCGTCCGGTGAACTGGCGCTGTATCACGCTTATGTAAGCAAAATTGCTCCCTGCAACCTTGGTTTAACGAATAAGGGCCATCACCGCACGTCTCTGCTTAGGGTACTTACCCTCACCCTGCGTGGGCATGAGCTATGAGAGAAGTGATGTATTGTAGACTGTGGGTCCGAGTTGCTATGTGTTGCAAAGGCAAAAGGTCACATGTACGTGCGACAAATGTATGTGCGACACCATGTGATATAAATGGTATTGTGGCACGCGAATCCATCAAGTGTCCTCCGGCTTAAAGGATCCTACCAAAATGAAGAGCGACTGAACGGTCGATCGCTGGTATTTGGGTTTCTTATCGCTATTCGGGACTTATTGTGATATTATTATTGGCCGGCTTCAAAGAGCCCGCCTGGCGCCCATTCTTGCATGAGCTGAGGAGGGGACATATGGCAAACGACTCGACAAGGGAGCGAGATCCAAACAAGGTGGAATGAGTGTATTGTAAGGTCTGAGGAGCTCGATAGAGCTCTGGGCTGACTATATACTGTACGAGATAGGAGCTATGCCTAATGAGTGAATAGTGCAGTACATGGGTATGATATCGCGTGAGACACGTGCGACATATAATGGGGTCTGCTTTGCCTTAGTAAGTGTTTAACACATCATCCCCTCCCCACAATTAGTTGTGTTAGTTAAAATCACCTGCTAGGACCACATCCACCTGCGTCCTAGTTCAGTTGTGTGCGGTTTAGATTAGGGTCTAGATGTAATTTATTGTCTCCCTTAGTACTCGCTTATCTCTTATCTTAACATAGACTGACACTACTAGGACTGTTTGACCGGGTAGTCGTAGCGTCGCTGCTGTGAGGTCCGGCGACTGTACTGGCAGCTGTTCAGCCTTGATGTCTTTCCGTATCCAGAGCATACTCTAGAAGGGCCACCTCCTGTCCCTACATGCGGTTGGCGTAAATTTGGCCTAGTAGGCGTGTCTAGCTAGTGTTGTAATAATCCTCCCTTCTTTATTCCTCTACGGATAAGGTTCTTAAATAGCTAATACAGCAAAGTCTTGTAGTTGCTTATTATTTATTACGCTGTGTAGTACCTTACGTTTCTTTCCTACATTAAGTTGGAATATCTTAAGCGTCCTAGGCATCCTAACTAGGGTATAGCACTTAACAGTTCCTAGAGAAAGATTTATAGGGGCCCCTACAGGGTACACATTTAGGGACCATCACTTGGCATTTGCTGTGGTGGTGTCCTTCGCTAGCGCACCTAGCACAAACCCGCTGCCTCGTGCATGTGAATGCCTCATGCCCTAGCTATTAGCATTAGTAGCACTACAATAGTCTATTTCGCAGTTTAAACAGTCTTGTGTATGCAGATTCTCTGTTAATGTGGAAGTACTGTTCTTGTAGCAGCTGGGCTGCATCGCTGCCCTTAGTGACATACACTACTATTAATCTATATGCCTTTCCTAAATCCTTTCTACTTAGCTAGCTAACTTTTGCTACCTGCACCCTGTTTTTGGCCCTAAGGGCCTCTGGGGCTCCTAGTTAGATTTGTCCTTCCTCTGACAGCACTGCTAGCCAGTTGGCGTTATCTACCCTAGTTAGGAAGAGCTGGTCGCGCAGTATCCTAACTCCCCTAGCTGCTGTCTTGCGGGCTGCCTCTTTAACCGCCTAGAGCTTACTTTTGTCCCTACATGTGACTCTAATTTAATTAGTGTTCCTTAGGTCCCTAACCACTGCTGCACAGCGCTATTCTGCGCGCTTGTAGTTTGTCCGCATCTCCTCCTTAATAGCTTGTCTAATCTTGCCTAGTTTTGCCTTCTCCCTGTCCACCTTCTTAATCCTAGATGTGTTAATTGTGCAGTAGAGTGTGTCTGTTATTGTTAAGGGTGCTGTGTTAGTAGAAAGGGTCTGTAGGTTACTAGGCTGGCTGCTTAGGGGCAATTATGCCACAGCGGCGTAAGATAGCAATCCACTAGGCAGCGTATAAGATCTGGCTAGAAGGGTCTCGAATTTGTCTACCATTGCTTTGTTCTCTGCCTTTAGTGCCTCCACCTCTTAGGTGAGTGCCCTTGTTGTCTTAATCTAGGTTGCGTGTTCTCTTTCTATCTGCTCTATTGTGGCTACTATCCTGTCTTAGGTCTCTTTAAGTGCTGCGAGCACCACAGCTAATAGGTCTTCCTTCTGTCTCGCTCCTGCGCTTCTCTTAGGTATACCTGTTCCTTTGTCATGTCTTGTTCTTAGTTAGCCTTAAGTGCGGGTTAATCATGGGGCTCCAGGGGCCTCTTAGTCAACATTAATCACCTCGTCTGTCCCGCTTCCATTGCTTAAGTTTCCCTGTTGTTTCCTTGTATTCTCCGCCTTAGTCGCCTTGCGCGTCCTGACGCGTGTTTAGGTTGATTGCCGCCCCTAACGCGTGTCCTCCACCTCCGATTCCATCGATTCACGACTCCCCTGGGTCCCGCGCAGTCGTCTCGTCCTCCGGTACTTATCCCCGGTTCTCTAGGAGAGAGGGGGGGGAGAGAGGTAGGGGGGGGGTTTAGGGTTAGGTACCGGTACTTATCTTGCAACCCCCTCAGTCGCCGCAGCTCCGGTCTTCCTGCAGGTCGAATCGTGCAGTCCAGACGCAGGTGGAGTGTGCAGACGGAGGCGGGTACCAAATTATTTTTCCTTTCTCTCAAAAGTTCCTTCCAAATTCGTTCAGGCATGGCTGCCAAGGAATATCGCGTACGGCGTCTGTGCCAGTCTTGGCTACGGCGGACTCTTGGCTATGTGGGCTCGAAACCGAATGTTGAAGTTCAGACAACACAGCATGAAGACGGCGAACACCAGCACCTGGGTTCCCAACCCGGTAACGATGATTGCATTGCCTATGTGGACATGTTTCGGGCTGGCCAGCATTCCAGAACCGGTTGATTAGATATTTAGGCAGAGCCAGTCACCAAGGACGAAGATAGCCGTTGTCCGGCGCGGGGAAAGGAGCGAGAAGCTTTCACCCTGGACGGCTCTGACCACCCGAGAGTATACCATGTACAGTGATGCGGCGAAGAGGACAGGGGGTAGGAGCAGGAAGATGGCTTGTATAAGATAGAGCGCCAAGGAACCCGTGGAATATGTGGAGGCTGCTCGGGATACAAAACCGATCACTTCAACTAAGAGGAAATATGGTGTCAGTGGCAGATATCGAGGGATAGTTGGGCCTTATACGCGACGTACAGAGGCCACCAATTACAAAGGGAACACAAAACCACATTCTAGTTGTAGCCATCTTCCAGGTATACACTGCGGTCGCGAGACTGAAGAGAGCAGCAAAGACAACAGCGGCTGGGAGATTAGGCACATAGTGCCACAGGTAGTCTCCACGGTATGTTTCGAGAGTGGGCATGTTTGGATGTGGTGGTTGATACTATGCCGCGAGAATGTCCAGAAGTGTAAATAAGAAACGACAAGGAGATGTTATAGTATAGTAGGGACTTGCTAAATTCTGCAATATGCTTCGTCGTAGCCACAAGAAGTCACAGGGAGGTTGCTTTTAGTAGTGAGTTGCGCGGAAATGGCCTAAACACCTATACCTCTACTCTTGCTGTACTAATCTTGTTTAAATAGCAAGCAACAGCACATTAAGGTAATGCTTAGTAATAGTACGCTTACACTAATGACTAACCTCTGAACTATTAGTGCGATGAAAATCGCCCCGTATGCCTCCTATGCACCATGTCCAACAGAGATTGCAGCTATGCATCCTAAACCCCGCCAGAGAGCCTCACGGCATCGTGTTCATTCTCCCGTAAGCAGTCTATAAGCCTAGCCAGTAACCACAGCCAGGGCAGTAATCTTAAACATATAGAACTTCTGTTGCGTTTGCCCAAAGGTCAACCTTCTAGCTAGCACAGCAGAGGGATATATATAGACAGATAGCTGTATGCAACAACTTCTTATCTACTTAGCTGTTAAAAAAGACATGTTTAATCTTAGTAACTATGTTAATAACTACCCCTCCTTCTGCTCTCTTGTCTTTAAGACTATTCTTAAGTCACTATACCTTTTGCATTAGCTGCTCGCCTTCTCCTCTTGCTACCTAGCGTTCCTTTATCCACAGCGTTCCGCTCCCTACTTCTGCTAGGCTATTGCCTTGCAAACTTACGCTGTCTTGCTCTTTAATGACGCCTAGACTAAGGTTAATAAGTCTAACTGCGTTGCTATACTCCTTTACTCCATAATACTCAGGCACCACCTCCTTACTGACACACTCGCCAAGCGGGACCCAGGCGGACTAGAGGCGCTCATAACCCACTACATTCGCTATGTAGAGATTCACAGAGGCATCTACACTGTTGCCAGGGCTGTGTAGCTGCTGTTAATAGAGTTAGAGCTTAAACTAATCCTATTGCTAAGTTCTAGCTTTACCTTAAGGCTGCTGAGGGGTAACCACTGCTAGCAGATTAGGGAGCTAGTTAACAGCTTAGATAGGCTAGGGGAGGACAACAAGGTGGCATGTTAGTTGGCGATTTAGTATCTTCAGGTCAGGTTCGACGCAGCGGAGGAGCAGGACGAGAAACGCAACCAATAGCAGATAATCTTTTCATGGACGATGCTGGCTCCACCAGCGTTTGCAGGGTTGTTGGCAGCAAAAAGACCTGAAGTTTTAGTCTTGCTAGCGTATTATGCATTGTTGCTCTATTACAGGAGGAATATGGGGCAGGTTAGAGACGCTGGGGTGTATCTATTAAGTGTTATTGTGGACTATCTTAGCCCAGACTAGGATCATTAGCTCAAATACCTACAGGCAAGGATACTGGAAGATCTTAAATAATATTATCACTGCCTCTGTGCGCTCATCTTTAGTAGAAAGGCGCTGGCAAGGTGTAGCGCTAAACATTGATTGGCAAGAAAACTCAGACTACAACACTAGACCGTGTAAGCCCAATTTATGTACCCTGAGTACCTGAATCTATCACGAAATTAATACCGATTCGAATGCATTAGTTCCTAGGGGACGCTGCTGGCTTTTCGCGGTGGCTTACCTGCCATGTTTTCAGAGTTGTTAATAATTAATCCTATTAATCTAGATTAATTAGACAGCTTAATTATTTAATCTGTTTACAATTAATCTAGGCCTAGCTATTTTATTAATTAATTAATCTAAATCTAATAGATTAATTAGATAGATTAATAAAATACTATTTTTATACTGTTGCCTATAGTATAGATACTTAGTAATACTGTCTATAGTGTTAAGTTTCTAAGGACTAAATCTAGGGCTCTTATTAGCCTACTAAGTAAGACTAGCGTAATTTCTTAACTTTTTAAACCTTAACACTATAGGTGTCCCTATTATATACTGCAGCTATTCTTACTGCCCTTGCTATTAAATATCTATCTTTATAACGCCTAAATTCCTATTAGAGGCATAAACTATAACCTTTTTTAGGCCTTTAAACACTGCGTTAGTTAGGTTAACTTACAGAGCACTAACGCAGAGCCTGTAAGTAATGTTATAACAAATGCTAATACTAATACTAATGTATACAGCAACCTAACACCTACACTTATCTCTACCCTAGGCCTGCTAGCTATTAATTTAAACGTAGCCTATAAGGGCATTATATAGACGCGCATCTTTACTTATTATAAGCCCTTATTTAAACCTAAGCGCAAGTTAGAGAGCTAGGTGTAGCAGTATAGTTATTAGGTGTATTACAGCCTCTCACAAACGCTCTACTAGCTCTGTAAGTACTGCTACTGCTGCTGTACAATTAGCAGAGTCTATTAGGCTAGCATGTTAACATTAGCTATTGCCTAGCATCTAGGGCAGGATATACTAGGGCACTAGCTTAAAAAAACAGGTGTTAAAACTAGCCCTAGGATTCTGCCTAGTTAACTTATAATAATAGCTTAGTTATAAGCGCAAGGCCTCTAAGTGTCTTAAGGCGTTGTAAATATAATAGTAGACTTCTTTAATAAAAACGCGTTTTAATATGCAGTGCTTAATTAGGTTATTGCAGATAATTAGGCTTTACATGTAATTAAGACTTTAAACTTCTAGGCTATAATATAAGCTGCTAACTTGCTAGCTAACAGATATCTCTAGGCTAGCTAGCAGAGCTTGCGTGACTGTATAATTACTAAGTATGTTGCCTATGTGCCTGCTGTAATTAATTACCTAAAGGCGTTGCAATCCTTAATACACATCTTATTTAATAATTAGATGTTAACTAGCAGCAAGATAGCTATTACAGGTATATGTGTACACTATATTAACGCTGCTAGGGTCCTCTAGGACTATGTCCTTAGGCTTCTAAGCTTAACAGGCTCTTACACAGGCAACAATATTACTTTAGTTGTTAATAATATGTTAAAAGCTTTTTAAATTACTAAAGATACACTTAGTTACTTTATTCTTAATAATACTACTAATAATAACACTGCTGTTAAAGCTTTAGCTACTTTATATAGCTTTAACCTACAGCACTAATAACTATGTTGCTTATGCTATATTATTAACCTAGAGGCCTAGAAATTGCTATTTAGCAAAGACTGTAACGCCTTTTAAAACTCTAACACTAATATCCCTAGTAAAGAGAAGTTTATAGAGGAGTAGTGTAAAGGGGGCCCCTTTAGAGTTCTATGCAACATTCTAGCATTAATATGTACGCCTTAAGCCTATTAACTTCTTTAATGCTACTAGCTTAAGTATTAAGACTTTAGGGAGCTTATAATGCCTTAAAAGGTTATTAAGCCTGTTAAGACCTAGTAGAACTTCTATTACTTATCTTTTAAAAGGGCTATTAAGCTCTGCAACTCTCTTAAAGACTACATTATATATAAAATTAATAAGTATAATTAAGAGCTAGCTAGGTGTTGCAATAATGTCTTTTATAAAAAGCCACGTCTTTTTATCTAAGAGAAGGGACTAACAACAAAGGACTAGGTAATAATTACAGAGTACATACAGCTACTACTACCCTTTAAGAAAGTAACATCCTTCTTTAAAAAAAGGGGTAGGTTAAGTATGTCTAGAGCTATATAGGAAGTCCTTCTAACATTTAACTAGCTAGTTAATACTATTAAAGATATAAAGAAGTAACTTACTAATGTTAATTTTAATAATCCTAACACTCTAAAAGACTATGTTCTAATTAATTGCACAGCAGCCCTATTAAAGCTTTTAATGTATTACGCTAAGCTAGCTAAGTCTTTAGTGTATTATATTGCAGCCTAGTTACACCTAGCTTATAAGGATTACCTTAATAGTGCATAGCTAGTCCCTAAGGACTACAACAGCGCCTTGTATAGTAACCACCCTTAGCAGGGGTAGTTAGATAAAGCCCACTAGGGGTTTTAGCTACTCTAGAAAGCCTACAAGGACTCTACACACATCACCCCCCTAGATCTAATGCCCCCCCTAAAAAAGCCCCAGACATCTTACAGAGCTAGTTACGCTAATTTTATAAAAGCTGCCTACTAGCAAGTAGCAGAGACTACCTAATATAATAACAATAAGTTTAATTACTAAGTTAAGAAGCTCTTTCTAGATAAAAGCAACTTATTAGCTAAAAATCTATTAAAGTACTAAGTAACTAAGAGTAAGCACTATCCTACCCTATTAAGCTTTGCCCTTAACATACTAAGTATCCTAGCAGCAGCAGCTAACTGTAAGAGGACCTTCTTAGAGCTTAGGGACTTACTTAAAGTACAGAGACTATGTATAAAGCTAGATCTACTATTAGCCCTACAGAGTCTTAAAAGCTAGAAGAGATTAGGCCTTAAGCCTTAAAAACTAATTTCTACAAGGCCTATTATCCCTCTAAGCCACTTACTAAGCCAGCTAGCAACGTTGTTTAACATTAGTAACTTTAAATTTAATAGAGATTAATTATATAAGGGGTTAATTTACTATTTATATATATTATTAATCTAATTTGTCTAATTAATCTGCCTAGAGCTTATTAATCTGTCTAATTAATCTGCAGACGTAAAGTTATTAATTAATCAATCTACTGTCAGGTGGATTGATTGGATTGATTGTTAACAACTCTGCATGTTTTGAGTGGCCGGAGAGCCTCCGTGATGAGAGTTCCCGCCTCGCCTCAGGGGATCTTGCAGCTGTTCTTAAAAGATATATAAAGTGGCCTGGGCCTCACTCAGAAGACTCGGTGTCCTCACACACCCAGCTTCCTATTAATTACTTTGAAATGATTCCATCGTCCACCCATAAGTTTAAAGAACTCTGTGAATAAAAGCTATTAAGAGAAGTGGGGAATCTACTGGCTTCTAGTGCTATGATATATAAGATTTAAAAGAATTAATTATCTTTTTGGCGTGAGGGTTGGTTTTATAATGATTTAGCCTTCTCCAGCCCTGTACTTAGATCACGCTTCATTCCCACGTCGATCTTTTAGGGTTACCGACGGCCGTTCATCCTTCTCGAGCCTTCGTTTTTTCCCCGGCCCCAGGTTTGGGAGTTAAAGTTCTTATCTCTTTCCATTAATCCTCTAACCTTACCACCGCCCCTCTCCTGCCAAGCCGCCCAAGCAGTCCACGCTCTGTCTACGCCTCGCCTGCCCGCTTCCCTCTCATCCCCGGCTACCAATAAAAAATTCGCTCTCCAACCGGCTAACACGCTCCCCGGCTTTCCTCGTTTCCGCCTTATCGTCATTTTCTTAATTACGGCTAGCTGTGTTGCTGCTAATAGAACATCAATGCGGACCTATCGATCCAAAGCCTTTAGTCAGGTCCAACAAATTCAGACAACTTTTGCCTCTTAATTTTAGAATCTCCTCCCTCTACCTTTTTGGACTCTTTGCTAGTGCACTTTTTCTAAGCGTTTCGTAATCGCTCTCGCTATCTCTTCTCCCTCCAACAGCTCCTTCGGCAACTAAACCAGAGCTAAGCCTACTTAGCCCCTGGGCCTATTAACTAGTGCCAATCACGAAAATGCCTCATCTCCTGTCGAGAGCAGAATCATGGCCCCGGGCAGAGCAGTATTTGGACCGTGAGGAGAAACGAGAGAAGGCGGGTTCATTCCAAATGCTATACCCAGGTCCGAAACCCTGCCGTTTCCTTATCAGCTATGCCCCATGATGCAGTCTAAGACGTCACATTCTACGACTTGCATCTTCATTGAACTAGATTGGGTTCGAGAAAGAGCTTAGCCTAGGTTGCATGAAAATGGAGGACAGAAAGCAGGGCAGGGCAAAGCATTCGAATGCCTATAGCTAGTGGATGCGCAGCCCTTCAGCTGAACGTCGGGGACAACTGTAGTGGAGTGTGCAGTATCAGCCTTTCAGCAGGATGGAGCACAATTCATGCGATATGAGGAAACCAATACTCTACAACGTGCGACGCATCTAGTTAAAGAAATGCCTTGCCGCTGCTTCTACCTCTTCCTCCGCCTCGCTGCGCCCTGGCAGATACCACGCTAGCTATTGCTCTGATGACTTCCTCCGTAAGATAGGCAGGCACGTTCAGCGCCGGTTGCTCCGGGTGAGCATCCCCCGTCCTAAGATACATAGGTAATGGAACACTAGGATCGACTATCCGCTCCCTTTTCGCATGATGGCCTCTCAAAGGAGGTGGAATAAGCAGGATGTACAGGCTGTGCATGGTTTTAGACGTGAGACAAGATCCTAAATCTCTACAGCACTGTTATGGGACAGTGAAAAGTGAAAGCGAAGGTATCTTTACCCTATGGGCTTTTTTGTTCGTAATAAGAATTACTTCGCCCAGATATTTCTTCATAGAGTTAGGAAAATGAAAGTGGTATCTTAGGGGTTTTATTACAAGCTAGAACTTTAAGATGTCCACTTTCTAACCCTGAAATGATACCTAGGCTGCAGTCGGCAAAAACACTACTAGAAGTGGGTAAAGCAATGCTTATGCACTGTACTTTCTTAACCAGATCCATGCGCTTTACACGGCCGCTGTTAATGATTCGGTTTCGCAGCAAGGAATGCTTTACGCGAGTAACTCTATGTCTGGGGACTTTTGACTCCTCTTTTAGGGGTATTCTGTCGCCGCTTTTAGAGTCACTTGCACCCAAAGTCCTAATTCTAACTCCTACAACCCTGTTAGCTTTTCTTGCCTAGTTCCTACCGCCGCCACTGTATCCGCTCGAGAGCTTGAACGCTCAATCGGTGCGCGTGCGCAAAGTAGCCGGTGAGGGCTCGGATCAATGACGGGGCATGGGCGGCTCGGTGGATGGGCGGCTCGCAAGCTGACGATCAAGGATGAGGGGTACCTGCATCTCCTCTCAGTTGCGATGCCTGGGCTTGTTTAACTTAGCTTGTTTTAAGCCTCCTCCAGCTGCGCTGCGCGGATTGCTCATCCCAAGGGGATATGTGAAGGTTTACAATGTGAGAGGTATCGAGCAGGAAACACAGGTCATAGAGAGGGAATGCAGGATAGGGGGGTAACGAGAGTAAACCTTAGGGTCGGAGGCAGAGGTTGTCAGATTGAAGCACTGTTTCTGGGCTTCCTGAGATGAATGATGGGTTTGGATATGATGTATGGGATGAT